AAATCTGCATGCAAGCTCACCTCTTCTAGGAAGACCCCTATCCCTTGGCCTAGAGAATGCCTTGTCTACTATCACAGTGTTCCGTACAGCATTGCCTCTGATCAAGAGACTCACTTCACAGCAAAGGGAGTGTGGCAAAGGCCCAGTGCTCATGGAATTCATGGTCTTACCACATCCCCACCATTCTGAAGCAGCTAGGCTGATAAAACAATGCAGTGGCCTTTCAAAGACTAGATTACAGCACCAGCTATGTGGCAATATCTTACAAGTCTGAATCAAGTTGTCCGGGATCACACACTTTGCACCCCAAATCTCTGAACCTGAATCTGCATCAAGTGGATGTTGCTGTTTCTCCCGTACACAGGACTTACCGGTCCAGAAATCAAGGGGCGGAAATGAGTTGTACTCACTATCACCCCTCATGACCCGCTACAAACCTTTTACTTCCTGTTCCCCTGACTCTGCTGGCCTAGAAGTCTTCATTGAGCAGAAAATGCCTCTACCAGGAGGCACAGCAATGACCCACTGCTCTGTAAAGGTTTTACTGCCACGGGGCCATTCTGGGCTGCTCACGCCTCTGAATCAATAGAAAAAGAGGACTATTGGCTAGAGTGGTTGATTATGACCACAAATGGGAAACTGGACTGTTGTTCCACAATGGAGATGAGGAAGAGTATATCTAGAGTACTGGAGATGCCTTTGGACAACTCTCAATACTACCATGCCCTGTAAATAGTCAGTAGAAATTATAATCCCCAGATTCAGGCAGGATTGGTAGTGGCTGAGACTTTTCAGAACAAAAATTTGGGTTACTCCACCAGGTGAAGAACTACAACCAGCTGAGGCGCCTTTCTGAGAGCAAAGGGAATACGGAATGGGTAGCAGAAGAAGGTAGTGATATGTGTCAGGGAGAGATCCTGAAACCAATCTTCTGTGGATATTGAGCAATGATTGTATTTTTGTTTTCTCTCCTGTCTTATTCCTTTATCAGGTAACATATTATACTATGTGAGTATCATTGATTTCATATTCTACTATTTCAATTATGGTATTTAACCTAATGGAAACAGTAAACTTCACTCAAGGGTTTTACTTCCTCCTCTTTAATACATATTTGGTTGTCTATGGAATATTTGTGTCATGCTAAGTGGAATTATGCCCTTGTTATTGGCTTTCTTTGAACATTAAGTGTGGCTTACACAGCACATGTACGGGTGCCAGTTTGCTAAGAAGTGGACATGTGATGACTCATTTTGTGTCTGCGTGACTCAGCTGTGGGATACCCAGGCATTTTGTTAAGCATTATTTGAGTGTATTTGTACTGATGTTTCTCAATGAAATTAACATTTGAATTGGTAGCCTGTGGAAAGCAGATTGTCCTTACTAAGCTGTCAACCAATCCACTGAGGCCCCCATAGAACAAAAAGGCAAAGGAAGGGAGAATTCACTCTCTAATTCACTGTTAAGATGACACATTGGTCTCCTCACACCTCCTTCATTATGTCTTACACCTTTGGCCCCCTGGTTCTCAGGCTTTTGGATTCAGACTGGAAGAGTGCCACCTGCTCTCTTGGTTTTCCAGCTTGCAGACGGTAGATCATGGGACTTTTCATCCCCATAATGATGGGAGTGAATCCCATCTATCTCTATATCTGTCATCTATATGTGTCTATCTGTGGCACACATATCTACCTATATATCTACATCTATACCTAAATCAATTGATCAATCTGTCTGTCTGTCTAGTCTAGTTTCTTCTCTTTCCCTACACAATAGTGACTAATTCAAGGGCATAACTGGCAGTTGGTTTTAGTATTATTGAATTCCACTAAGAACTCTACATAACTATGAATAACTCTACATAACTATGAACTCTACATAACTGTAAGAACTCTACATAACTATGAGTAAACAAGTTCCTAAAAGCAACACAACTAAATTTTTTAAAAAAGGTAAATCCAAAATTTCAATATTGAAGCAGGAAGTTTTCTTTGCTTTAATTTGACTTATGAGATATGAGCAGAGTGAGATTGCTGCTGGATGCTGATATTCCTAACAGAAAGGAGGAGGGACAATGACCTTAAGTAACCAGCACTCACCTGGGGGGCAAATGACTTTGGTGTTGCTCTGTGTTCTGCTGGGAACTTGCCATGTGACTACAGAAATTCACTTTCTCCCTGAGAGTCACTTTCTTCAGTTGTGTGTTGTTGGCCTGAGCAAGTTTTTGAATAAACCTAACTTGGGTATTTGGTGGGCACTTGCAAACACCTTGCCTCTGCCACAGAGACAGACTCACCAGGTCCTGGGCAAGTCCCGAAGACAAAGGCCTAGGAGACAAATTTGGGAGGAAAAAAATGCAAAATAGTTCTAAACACTGTAAAATTCTTTGCTAGCTTGTAGGAATGCCAGTAATAGCTCTAAGCAGGAAATGGATAAATTTTGTAAAATATTATACCACATATTTTTATTCTTTGAAAAGTATTCTTACAAAGGAGAAAAAAAAATCTAGAATGGGTAATAATTTCTCTCTTCTCTAATTAACCACTCTTAAGTTTCTTGTGATTCCTTCCAGATAAGAATATGTATACATATTGTATTTTAAGGATCTGCTTTGAACAAAAGCAATCCCGCTGGGTTATGCCACATCTAGTGTTTCATAGAAGATTTTTGTGGCAGTTGCTCAATGCCAGCACATAGATCTTCCTCTGCATAGCTGTGAGGTTGGTTTGACACGGTGTGTGCACAATCTATTAATATAACCACTATCAATGGACACTTTGGTGGTTTTTAGGGTTTTGTTATCAAAAAATATACTGCAATGACTATCCTTTTCCAGATGCTTGTGTGAACTTTTGAAAGAGCATCCACCAGATTACTTCCTAGCAGTTGGGTTTCAAAGGGTGCATGCATTTACCATTCCAGTGACCATTACTAAATTCCTCGCAGGGAGAGGCTGCTCTAACAGATCCTCTCACAACTGGCATACGAGAATACACCCACTGGCCATGCCCTCACCAGTACTGGGTTTCATCAATTTTTCAATTTTATTTTTGGAGGAAGGGGAAGTTCATATTTTCCTTTTAAAAAATACTTTTGTTTTGCTACTGTCATTTGTTTAAAGGGCTCAAAAGATTTGTTCTGCTGCTACCTCTACACAGCTTAGAACTTTTCTTGCTGTTTCTGCTGGTTTCTTTCTGACCCCAAGTATCAGAGAGCATGAGAGTCCCTTCTTCCTTGCAGATCACAGTCCTCTCGCCTTCCAGTGCAGCTTCAGGTCCTCCACTCCTCATTACAGACTCCCATCGTTCTGGTCTCCCAGGTCCAGATCCAAAGTCTGATACTGGTCTGGATGTGGGGGTGGGGAGTTAGGGGGACACTACGGTGAAACCAAGCCTCGGTTCTGGGCCTGCTGCCGCTCCTGGCAGGGCTCCTTCTTTCTATTGGAGCAGGAGATAAAGTGACATCAGTGTAAAAGCCCTGCTGAGCTGCTCTCCCATGGCCTTCAGTGGCACCTAATCCGCTTGAGCTCTTACAGACTGGGCTCTCTCTGAGGCCACTGGCTTGGAGGACGCAGGCTGCTGGGTGTTGTGCTGCGGACCAGACAGAGCACGGGCTGACCTGAGAGCAGCGGCAGCAGGAAAGAGAAGGGGTCTTGTTGACTCACTTGCTCGGCAGCCGAGTGCCTAGTGACAAGCAGTAAACAAAGACACAGCAACTGGGCAGTGGCCACGCGGCTGGCGGTCTCAGCCAGGAAACCTGCACCATAGGGAAGCCCCAGAGGGTCCTGGGGACTGGGATGCGGTCTTTGATGCAGAAAACAGGTACCTTGGCATCGTTCTCTTTCTCTTGTAAATCTGGGTCAATGAAAGGGCAGGTCCCTTACTGGGTCTGGATCTGGGGAATCAAGGTAATGCAGCTGGATGAGGCCCTGCATTAGGGCCTCGGCGGAGTGTCATTGAGGCTTAATTGTTCCAGGCCACCGGAAGGACCTGGTGGAAATGGTGTCTGCTTTTTAAACAGAACAGGATGGACTCAGAGGAGAAAACACAGAATAAAGCGTCAGAGCAACCCTTGTTTGAATCCCTGCTTTGATTTTTAGCATTTATCAAAAATCAAACAAGGGGGCTGGGGATTTAGCTCAGCGGCAAAGTGCTTGCCTGGCAAGCGCAAGGTCGTGAGTTAGGTTCCCAGTACCAGAGAAAAACCAAAAAAAAACAAAAATCAAACAAGGCTTTAACTTTCCTGAGACTCCTCATCTATGAAATGGGGATACATTTTACACATTACTGCACTGTTGAGGACACATGGGTGATGAATGTAAGCACTTAGCATGTGCTTGGACCAGAAGAGCTGCCTAATAAATGACAGCTGTCACTATTTTTCAGAGTATTGCAAGAATGTCCACTTATTGCTTAAAGTGCATCAGGTATTTAATTTAAGAATTTTAGGCCATGTCTAGTGGGCTTCCAGACAACATTTTAAAAGGAAAGAAAAAAATGTCAGTGATTTGTCTGTGTTTATATCTATATATATCTACATATATCTATATAGATATATATACACATATATATATGTTTACTGGGTAGAAAAAACTTAATAGAATTTTTCAAGTCTAAATAATGTTCTTTTTAAAGCAGCAACTGAATTCAGAGTAAAGGTGGGGTTTAGCTAATTAGTTAGATCACTAACCGAGCACACAGTAGGTATGTGTTGGGTGTCAAGCCAGGTGCTGGGTCCCAGGAGCACCTCTCTCTGCCCAGAGGACCCTCCAGGGTGCAGCGGGGGGACCAGAAGGTGGGTATGTAGTACAAATTGTGTTGATAACAAGTGCTGCTATAGTGGTGACAAGGGCTCCTGGGAGATGCGATACTTGAGCGCATTTGAATGCTAAGTGGATCTAGGGGCAGGAAAGAAGTAGGAATTGGGGAAAGGCCTCTTAGGTAGAGAAGATCAGGCACAAAGGCCTAGTGGTGTGAATAAGTGTGCTGGGAGTAGCAGACAGTTTGGCCTAAGTATGAGTGTGGGCATTTGACAAGAAAGGAGGCTGTGAAGGGAAGACTAAGTCTGTACCTACTTTGACCTCTGCCTTCTCCACACACCCCATGTTGATGACATCTATTGAGAAACTACCATGGGCCAGACACAGTGACTTATGGTGCAAAGAGGATCCACAATTTGCCCCGGGTAAGTCAGGGTGAGTCCACTCTGACCTCAGCCACTCTGAGGTGCTCCTCTGTTTCCCTGACGGGTACCATTGATCCTGAAGTGTGTGGCTAGTGTTTAGCTCCCTTCCTCCCAGCGCTCTCCTCCTGAGTCATCTGGTTAATGCCTTCCCCTCCTCTTCCTGGCCTTCACTTTGCTCCTGGTTGCTGGCAACCGTCCTGTGAACTATCTTCTCCCTCTTTCTCTTGCCTTGGCTGCCGATCTCTTTATTCTTGTACATCCTGGAGTTAAGATGGCTGCTGTAGCTTGGTGTTGCTGGAAGTAGTGTAGGTGGTGATGGAAAGCAGGAAGGAGGTGTGTGGGAGGTGGGAAGGACCAGTCTAGGGGGAGGGGCACTAGTGCCAGTTAAATGGCAAGATTTCAAAACCAAGCTGCCAGAGCTTACTTTTCCACAGATGAGCAAGGTATGAAAAAGTACCTGCTAGGTAGGAAATGTGCTGGACGTTTAAGAATGTCCTAAGAATTTTGTGTCTTTCTTGCTTCGGTACCATTTCTGTATGAAGCTTGTCCACAGACTGCCAGCAGCTCTTGATGGGCTCATCAGTGTGCCTGGTCATGTAGCTAATGGGGACAAAGGGACCGCAGGTGGTGTCCCCCACAGCACGCAGGAAGAAGGGAGGGGAGAAATATGAGAAGGGTGAGGGGGAAAGGGAAGTGGCTGGAGGTCAGTCTGGAAGGGCAGCCTGGGGATCCCCCTAGGCCTGGCCAGGAACATGAACCTGAGCTAGTCCTGTGGAGAATGGAAAGCCACTGAAGGGTTGAACATGGTGGAGAAACAAGATGGGATTTTGTTATAGGAAGAGGACTCTGCAGGTTGGAGCAGTGGCAAGATTACAGTGGAAGAAACCATTTGGAAGGGTCAGTAATGGTCATTTGGGGAGGGACACAGGTGGCTTGGGTCAGGGCAGTAGCAGAGGATAGGATGGTGGTGCTGGAGAGAAGCAGATGGATCTTAGAGAGATTTTGGAAGTGGATGGGGAGTTGAGGAGCAGGAAGGAGACAAGAACAATGCCTGCAGGTCTGGCTAGAGGGGCTAGGGAGATGATCTCTGATTCTAATTGTGCTGCTATAACAAAATACTTGAGGGTGGGTGATTCATAAAGAAAAGAAGTTTCTTTCTGCACAGTTCTGGAGGCTGGAAAGACAAAGATCTAGGCACCAGTGGGCTGATTGTCTGGTGATGGCCCAATCTGTACTTCCAAGGTTACACCTTGAATGCTGTGTACCTTGGAGGGGAAAACATTGTGTCCTCCTATGGCAGAAGGTGAAAGGGCAAGAATAGGACAAACTCCCTCCATGAAGCCTTTGAAGGGCACCCAATCCCACTAATGAGGGCAAACTTCTTGTAACTCCATTGCCTCCCCAACGCCCCTTCTCCCAGTGTTGTTGGGTTGGGAATTCATGTTCAACATGAATTTGGAGGGGAAGCACATTCCAACCATAACAATGGTAGTGTTGTGCTTTGTGATGGGGGCAGTTGGAGGAGGAGGAGGAGAGGGAGAAGAAAGAGAAGGGAAGGTGCTTCCACTCTTGAGCACCCACTGAGGACATCTAAGAGGTGGCTGGGGACACGAGAGGGAGGTATGAGCGTGAGGCAGAACTGTGGAGGTGATGGGCTGGCAGTTGGGAACTTTAGAGCATGTGGAGTGCTTCAGGGAGAGACCCCAGGGCAGAAAGACCCCGAGGAGCACCAATACCTGGCATGTCATTCATTCAAGCGAAGACCAGTGCTATGGATTTGGGCAGCTGGGCACAGGCCTTTGGGCATACACCCTCATGGATTACATTCTCAGCCTAAATTCCTAGAGGAGCAAGAGGGTGATGGAGGGGTGGAGGCCTCTGGGCTCCTCGTCTGCGTGGTCAAACTGCTCTATAAATCTGCCACACCTGTCAGGTCAGTGTGAACAGCAGCCTCGCAACGACCTTGATGGGTGAAACAGTGGCCTCGAGATGGCTCCCATGTGCACCTCTTCAGTTTCATGGCAGGATGGGCAATTGTCTATGACCTTTAAATAAATTTCATTTCTTTTATGACATTTCCTTAATCTCATTTTCTCACTTGTCTAACTGTGTTGGGACCCACAAAGTGCGCTCCCCCCACTCTTTTGACAGAAATAGTCACTTTCAGCTTGACCTTTGTCCTTTATCTCAGCTGTCTTAACTGCAGCATATTTTATAGATGTCACAGTGGGAAACAGCTTCCTGCCTCAGGACTCAGAGGGATATCAGTGAACAAAGCCCACAAAGAGAGCCAGACATGGGGTTCTCTCCCTAAAGCCTGGTGGTATGGAATGCTGGAAAATGCCCCACCCCACCCCCTCAGCTACTCTCAAATTTCCTGCCTGTGTTAAAGTAAGTTCTCTTGAATCAATTAAGTGTGGTACAGTGAAGGCATCTCTTCCTCAATCCTCTTTTCTTTCATTTTTCTTTTTCTTTTTTGTCTTTTTGAGACACGGTTTCACAATGCAGTTTAGGCTGGCCTAGAACTCACTTTGTAGCCCAGGTTGGCCTCGAACTCACAGCAATCCTCCTGCCTCAGCCTCCTGAGTGCTGGGATCACAGGCATGAGTCATCATGCCCAGCCTCCCTAGTCTTATTTCTGATGGCTTGCTGGGATGGATAGGTTTGGTTGAATGAAACTGCTTTACCCCTAGAACACAGCGCTGATTCCCTGGGGTTTGTGAGAGGGTGAGAGCCCATTGCTTTGCCTGACTTATCCCAACCAGCGATTTGTTCCTCAGCTGTTGCTGCAGAGGGACAGGCGATTGTGCTCTCTGGAAAGGAGGACCTGGATCTGTCTGGAGTCACCTTCAGGACACACTTGCCCTGTTGCTGGGTGCTGCCCCACCTGCAACATCTGTGTGCAGATAGCCCTTTGCTGCTTCCTGAGCACCTAGGAACAGTCCCTAGGAGGTATGAGGTGGCATCACTGAGTCTTGGGAGAAGGAATGTTCTCAATTTTAATAGACGACTCTAAAAAATCTAGCCCAGTTTAACTACCATATTGATGGAAATTATAAGAGGGACTGACCCCTACATTGCTAATGTCAATTATTTAAATTTTGGACTATCTGATAAATTCTCAGTTTAAATTTGCTTTTCCTTTAATTTCTTTTTTGATTTTCTAAACACATACTAAGTTATTGCAAATATATAATGACTAGTTGAATTTTTGTCCTTTAATTATTTCTTAACTTTTAAATTACAGAGCAAGTATTTTTTTCCCTAATTGATATATAAATAGTAGCACTTTGGGCATTTGTCATATGTACTTCCTTCTAGTCAGTTGCTCATTTTCTTTTACATTTCATTTTCAGGTACAGATTAGTGGGAAGTTGCAAAGACAGTACAGAGAAATCCCTTGAACTCTTCTCCCAGTTTTCCCCAGTGATTGCATCTTACCTTTGAGGATGGTACAGTAGCCAGCCCAGAAATTCCACACTGGTGCAATGCATATGTCAAGCTCCTGCCAGTGTAGTACACAGGTAAACATATGTAACGAAGGCATAGAACTATTCTGTTGCCATAGGGACCTCCCCTTGCTACCATTTTATAATCACTCCCTCCAGTCCTACACTTATTCCACAGAATCACACAGCATGTGAACATTGGAGACTGGCTTTCTCCCTCGGTGTAAGGCCCTAAGCTCTATCCAAATTTCTGTGGGTATCAATAGTTGGTTTTCATTGTTAAGTTGTGCTCCATGGTACAAATGTATTACAATTTGTATAGCCATTCGCTGGAGGGACATTTTGCTTGTTAACCATTTTTGGCTATTACAAAGAAAGCAACTATTACATCTAAAACATGAACCTTTACATATAGGTTTTCAGAGTTAATCCTTGTTGGAGTAAGTATTAGGACTTTATTCCTTTTTATGGCTGAATGATGTTCCATCGTATGGTGACACCACTTATACACTCTTCAACCAAGGATGCTTCTTTGAACATGCACATATATATTTTGGAGAAATGTCTACATGAGTCCTTCACCCGGTTTAAAATTGAGTTGTTTCTGGTTTTGCTGCTAAATTGTAAGTTATTTATATATTCTAGACACTTGATTCATTCTGTAAGTATTTTTTGCCATTCTATGGATTGTATTTTCTCTTCTTTTGTAATGATCTTTTTGGTACACAAAATGTCTTTGGTGTAAGTTGTTCAGATTGGGTAATTTCTATTTTCATCCATTATTTCATTCTCCTGTCTTCTGCATTTTGCTGTTGAGCTACCTGGTGAGATCTTAATTCAGGTCATTGTATTTTTTAGTCCAAAAATATCCATTTGCTTGTTTGTATTTCACAGCTAAGACTTTCTATTTCTTTGCTGAGACTTTCTGTATTTTCACCGAGTTTGTAATTACTCATTCGAATCCTTGTCAGTTAATTCTAACAGCTACATCACCTCAGCATTGGCATCTATTTGTTTTTCTTTGTCATTCAAGTGGAGATTTTCCTGGTCCTTGATGTGAAGACTAATATCTATCAAATCGTAAATACTTAGGCAGTGTGTTATGAGCTTTGGGGTTTGCTTACTCCCTCTTTCTTATGGAAGTTCCTGGACACTGCCTTGGCAGGGTAAGACTCTCTTCCTCGTGACTTCCAGGTGAAGGCAGAAGCCCAGGTTCTCCACTCAGCCCCTGTTGGCATCTCCAGGGCACATTGCTGCTACTGCACAGAGGTGAGTGTCCTGGCTGCCACCAGTCCTCTGCTAGGAGGCCAGGGTATCTTGTTACTGCTCAGGGTTATGCCTTGTCACCCTGCATGATAGCAAAAGTCCCGCCTCTCTATTCACCCCATAACACCACCCCAGTGGGGAGGCCAAGGAAAATCTTACTGTCCCACGGGGAGGTGGAAGCCCAGGCTCAAGCATGTTCTGTGATGACATAGTAGTGAATGTAAGTCACAACAGGTGGGAACAGGTGTCTTGGCTCCCTACATGGCCTTTGCTGGTCACATGTTGAAAAGACTACCTCATCTTAATTGTCTTGTTCTTTTGTCAGAGATCAGTTAATGTATATTTATATCAGCCTACTTTGGATTTTCTGTTCTCTTCCTTCAATCTACCCATTCTTTCAACAGCACTATACTTTTTGAAGAATGTCATGTATGTAATCTTTGAAGGTGGGTAGTATCTGTCTACTAACTCTATTTCTCTTTTTCATTATTATGTTGTCTGTTCTGTTTTTCTCCTGTTCATATAAACTTTAGAATCAGCTGTTAATAACCACAAAATATAAGGTATAATTGAAAACTACGGTGAATGTTTAAAATCTTTTAAGACTCATTACAATAAAAGACACATTGTCATTAACCCTCCCCATACTCTCCCATACTTCTCTCATCATTTTTACTACTTTCTGAAGCAGGTCTGGAAGTCCTCTTTTGTGAGTGCGTTTTCTTGTGCTGTTGTGGCTGCCATGATGTCCTTTACTGACCCAAAACATTTACCTTTCATGGTCATTTTGACTTTGGGGAATAGCCAGAAGCCACACTCTGCCAGATCCAGTGAATAAGGGGCATGAGGACACATCATAAAGTTTTTATGAGCTTGTCTTTCTATTGAATGGCACTTAGCAACAGTATTCATATATTTTTGATCATACCTTATGAAGACACTCATGAAAGAGGACTTCCAGTATTGTTTCAGAGTGGCAAGAATGGTGGGATAAGTGTGTTTGAAAACAAGGGATATATTTTGGTAGCAATGTGTCTTTTACTGCCATAACTTTTAAAAAATTTAAACATTCACCATATTTTTTATCATATCTCATGAATATTTTGGACTTTGATTTGGATTGGATTAAATCTGCAGATCAAATTGGGAAGATCTCACATCAACAATACTGAGTCTTTCTATGAATCTGAAGTAACTCTCCCCTTATTTAGATTTTAACAATTTTTTTCATTAGAATTTCATATTTTTGCTCAAAAGAAACTTGTACATATTTTGTTAGACTTCTTCCTTACCACTTTATAATTTTTTGGTGCTAACATGACCATCCATACTGTATTTATAATTTTAAATCCCAGTTGTCCTGGTGACATTAATTAAAAATTAAAGCAACTGTCATTTGTATATGTGCTTTTGTGTTCTATAATGCTTTTACAATCATTTATTAGTTTCAGTAATTTTTTGTTGATTCTTTGGGATTTTTTACAGAGACATTTATGTTGTCGCTGGACTGAGACTATTTTATGTACTCTACCTCAATCTAAATACCTTTAATTTCTTTATCTTGCTTTACTACATTAGCTAGGAATTCCTGCACAGTGTTGAAGGGGAGTTGTGAGATGGACATTCTACTTTGCTTCCTGATTTTAGCAGGAATAAATCTAGTTTCTCACTACATGTTGGATACGTTGTTGACTCTAGGTTTTTAACAATCAAATTGAGAACGTTTTTCTCTATCCTGATTAGCTGAGAGGTTTTTTTTTAAAGATGAGTGGATGTTGGGTTTTGTAAACCACCCTTTTTGTATCAATGGATAAATCATATGATTTTTTTTCTTTAGGCTCCTGAAATGGTGGGTTATATTACTAGCCTCTTTGAATGTTGAACCTCCTTTGCATACCTAAGTTAAATTTCACTTGCTCATGATGTATGAGTAGAATTTGTGCATTGTTGGATTCGATTTGCTAAAGTTTTATAGATTTTTGCATCTTCATTCATGATATATACATATCTCAACTCCTGCTTTCTTGTAATTATCTAATTTAGTATTAGAATAACTTTAGCCTCATTGGATACATTAGGGAGAGTTCCCTTTTCTGGAACAGCATGCAGAGAATTGGTATTGCCTTTTCCTTAACTGTTTGGTAGACTTCACAAGTGAAACCATCTAGGCCTAGTCCTTTATGTTTTAGAAAACCATTAATTATTGATTCAATTTTTAAAACTTCTATTATCATTTATCTTTATGTGAGTTTTGAAAGTTTGTGTTTTTCAATGATTTGGTGCAGTTCATCGAAGTTACTAAATTTGTGAGTATAGACTTGTGCATAATATTCCTTTATTATCCTTCCAATGTCCATTGGATTAATAATCATGGTCCTTTCTTTATTTGTGATTTCAATTATTTGTGTCTTCTTTCTTTTTTCTCAGTTATTTTGGGTATGCATTTATCAATTTTATCGATATTTTAAAAGCACCACTTTTGGTTTTGTTGATTTTCTTTTTCCTTTATTCAATTTTGATGATTTTTGCTCTAATGTTTTGATACTTCTTTTTTTGTATTTAGGTTCATACTGCTCTTCTTTCTGTAATTTCCTAAGGTGGTAGTTATATTACTGATCTAGATCTTTGTTCTTTCCTAACATGTGCACTGAGTGTTATAAGCTTCTGCATAAGTACTTTTTCTGTTGCATCTCACACATTTTGCTGTCTCATATTTTCATTTTCATTTAATTAAACATATTGTATTTTCTCACTATTTCTTTTTTGACTCATGTATTGCTTAGAAATATGTTGTTCTATCTTCAAATATTTGAGGATTTCCAGGTATCTTTCTGTTATTGATTTATAATTTAATCCCCTCTGGAACATATTTTGTATACTTTCTGAAATTTTAAATTTGTCAGTGTGTTTTGTGGCCCCAAATGCAGTGTATCATGGTGAATATTCCACGTGAGTTTGGAAGGGTTATAGATTCTGCTGTTGTTGGATAAAGTAGTCTACAGATGTCAACCAATCCAGCTGACTGATTGTATTCAGTTTAACTCTATTGTTACTGATTTTCTTCCTTATGGATCTATTGATCACTGATAGTGGAGTGTTGAAGCCTCTATCTATAATAGTGGATTGTTTATTTATAATAGTGTATAATAGCACACTGTTGTTAGGTGCATTCATATTACACATTAAGACTTTTATGCCTTACTGGAGTATTGACTCCTTGTCATTGTGTCCAGGCTGTCTTCGTTCCTTAGAGTTTTTCTTATTCTGAAGTCTGCTTCATCTGAAATTAAGATAATTATCCAGCTTTCTTTTTTCATTGTGTTTTTTTTTGAGATAGGGCTTAGGTTTGAAACCTGGGCTACATTCATGTACCATCAGGCCCAGTCCCAGCTTTCTTTTTCTTCATGTTAGCATGATACTTTTTTCCTCCATCTATTTACTTATTTTTAAAATTTTTATTCCATTCACTTACTTTTAATTTATCTGTGCCTTCCTATTTGAAGTGAGTTTTTTATTGTCCATATCGTTAGGTTTTGTTTTTCTAATCAACTTTGTCAATTTCTATGTTTTAATTAGATCTTTTATATTTGAAGTGATAATTGATATAGTTGGATGAACTATTTTCTAATTGTCACACTTATTTTTTCAAATCTTCTATTCTTATGTCTTCTTAGTAGCAATTGAACATTTTATATGGTTCCATTTTTTCTCCTGTATCAGCATATCAGTTGTACTTCTTTTTTCCAGAAGTATTTGTAGTTGTTGCCTTAAAGTTTGCAACTTTAAGGATTGGATTAACCTCAATCCAGTTTCAAATATCACGTGGTGAGGTAACTCTTATGTGGTGACCTCATTCTCCCCTTTTCATCTTGTGCTTGTCCATTCATTCCACTCATGCATCAGGTGTATCACCCATATATTGTTGCTATTATCCCTCATTTGAACAAACAATCATCTTTAAGATCAATTTAAAAAAAGGGAAATGATAGGTTTAGGATTTGAGATCCTGGCCTATATACTTTTCCTTTTTCTCTAAAAACATATCTTGCAAGGCAAGCCTATTGGTGATAAATTTCACATTTTTCTTTATCTGAGAAAGTGTTTGCATTCATTCTTAATAGTAATTTTACTGGAGACAGAATTCTAGACTTCTTTTATTTTAGAACTTTAAAATTTTCACTCCACTGTCTTATTGCTTGACCAGTTTGTGAAGGGAAATCCACTGTAATTCCTATCCCTTTTCCCCTATAGATAAGTTGTAATTTTTCTCTGGCTATCTTCATGATTTTTTTGGTGTTTGTGTTCCGATATTCTGAATATCATATACATAAATGTTGCTTGTTGTTGTTTTGGTATTTTTGCTGACTGGTGTTTTCTGAGCTTCCTGGATGTGTGGTTGGTGCTTGTTATTATTTTTTAAAATCCTTAGATTTTATTATATCAATATTTTTCTTCTATTTTCTTACTTCTAAATTACCAATTATAAATATGTTAGATCTTTTGTAATCTTGCTACAGTTCTTGGATATCTGTTCCACTTACTAATACATCTTCAAGGTTGTTGCTCTTTCCTCAAAAGTCCCAAACCCTGGTAAGCCCATCACAGGCATTATTCATTTCTCTCACAATGATGTTGATTCCTGAAGTTGCCTTTTACTTTACATTTTAGAATTTGTATGTCTCTGTTTGCATTGTGCATCTATTTTTGCATATTAGGGAAAGCCTGCTTTTCCTTAGCGTATTAGTCATAGTTATTTTAAATTCCTGGAATGATAATTCCAAGACCTCTACCATATCTGAGTTTGATTCTATCACTTGCTTTATTTTGTCACACTGTGCTTTTTCTTGCTTTGTGCGTGACTTATAAATTTTCATTGAAAGCTGGACATGATATATTTGGTAAGAGGAATGGAAATAAATAGCATGAGTATTTGTGTTTGGCTAGAAATTATGCCATGTTTACTGTTTGCTGTAGCTGTGTGGTAGTTAACTTTATACATCTAC